TTCCTGTCAAATGTCTTTCTGGTTCATTCTCCTGTCCTCCAATATCTCCCCACTCGGGGGCACTGGCCGCTAACTAGAACAAAATCCATTCTTGTTTCTTGCTCAGTTCTTTCTTTCTGTTGCCAGAGGGTGCATGCACTTGATAGAGAGCAGTGGAGAGGGCCAGGGAGAGGGAGAAAGTGCCTCCATATGGGGTGAGGTCATGCTGCTATCTCTTCTCCATGTGCACATGCTTCCATGTGTTTTTTAAACTTGCTGGGGCTGGGATTTGAACTATGGTCAGTCATGTGGGACCCAGCTCATCTTAACCACTAATCATGGGGTTGGCCCTGCTCCATTTTCTTTGTAACAATACTACGTGCCTTGTATCTCAGACTGGCTTGTGTATCACACCGCGTCTCCCCCACTGTAGCACAAGCTCTATGAGGGCAGGGCTTTTTTTGGTAAATTTTGAATGCCTTCTAGCTATTTATATCCACTTTTCAATTAAAGTGCCTTTTGATCAGGCTGCTTCAAGTAAAAAAATAATACAAAAAGATATCCAGAAAAATCTCATTTCCATTCTGGTTTTTATTTTTTCAGAGAGATTTTTGCTACAGGGTGAGTGCACTTGTTAGAGAGACCGAGAAAGACAGAGACAGAAAGTGAGAAATCACCTCCCAGGGGGGATGGCCACTCCGCAATCCCCTCTCCTCTATTCCCCTCTCAGGATTTTGGGCACTCATGCACATGCGCCCAGCACTAGTTTTAAGCCAGTGGGTCCAGGACTCAAACCATGGTCGACTATGTGGGAGTCTGGTGACATCATAATTACTCCATCTACTGGTCCCTTAGCTCCATTCTTACTCTAGGATGTCTAGTTTTCCTTACTCTCTTAGCAAGCCTTTCTCACTCTCTTTTTTTTAAAAAAAATTTTAATTAAATTTGATAGAGGGCACATTTGCCCACCAGAGAGATACAGAGATACAGAGGGAGGAAGAAAGCATTTCTAATGGGGAATAAGCATGCTGCAATCCCTTCTCTTCCATCTCTTGTTCCTTCTGGGATTTTGGGCATGCACGCATACACCTGTGCCTGGTGTGTTTTTCAAACATCCGAGTCTGGGATTTGAACCATGCAGTTGGTCATGTGGGATATAGCTCCTTTACCACCTGGACATGGTCTGGCCCATTCCAGTATTTCTTTAATGCAAGTACTCTCTCTCTCTCTCTCTACACACGCACACAAACACACACACACACACACACACACACACATTCTTGTTTTCTCATCTTATTCCACAATTATTGTATACATAGTTTGAAACTTGCTTTTTTTTTTTTTTCTCAAAAATATTTCCTAGACAGCATTCCATATCAGTTTAGAGATAGCTTTCTCTTTTTTCACAGATGCATAATATTCCCTTTTGGAAACACTCCATAGTTTATCACTTCCTTGATGATAAACACTTGTCGCTTCCCATCTTATGCTGTCACCCTAAATGGAGGACAGGGATTTATACTCCAAGTTGAGACCCTCAGAGTTTTGAAGTCAGACTTACTGCACAGTGCAGATCGTCAATGAACAATTATAGAAACAAATAAATGAAATAACTTTGTGGGGGGTAATTTGTCAGAGGACATGTGCACTCCCTGAAGGGAGAGAGAAAGAGAGAGGAAGTGAGGAACAATCCTGCTGCTCCCATAGATGGTCATGCTGCAATCCCTTCCCATACATTTGTCCTTTTGGGATTTTGGGTGCAGTGTGTTTCTCAAGCCAACGAATCAAGACTCGAACCACTAGGCCAGCTATGTGGGATCCAGCGCCGTAACCACTAGGATTGAATACATGAATGCATTTGTTGAATGAACCACCTTGAATGAGCGAGGTGGGGGCGACGGAGAGAGAGCCCAATGGCAGCTCTAGGGTACGTTGTGTTACGAGGAGGCCCCGCCAGGTGGCGCTGCAGGAGGCGGGCGCCCTGACTAGGCGGGCCACGCCGCTCTTGCCGTGGGCTCCAGCGACTGCGCGCGGACGGGCGTGGGGGTAGGGCAAGTCATATGACACGCTCGGCTTCCTGGCTCCCGCCGCCGCCGCCCGCCCCCCCCGTCCGCCCGGGCCCGAATGAAAGGCGTTGGGGGTCCGGCCCGAGGCCCGCTCGTGTGGAAGTCGTCGCAGCCACCGCTCGCCCGCCCTCCTGCCCGTCCTTCCCTCCCGGCCGCCATCATGCTGGCGCTCATCTCCCGCCTGCTGGACTGGTTCCGCTCGCTCTTCTGGAAGGAGGAGATGGAGCTGACGCTTGTGGGGTTGCAGTACTCGGGAAAGACCACCTTCGTCAATGTCATCGCGGTGAGCGCTCGCCCACTCACCCGCCTCCGCTGCGCAGTCGGCGAGTTCGGCCCGACTTACTCCCTGAAGGCCCGAGTTCGGGTCCCCCCCCCCCCCCATAGCGGGGGGTTTGGGGGGGGGGGCCACGCGGGGGCGCTGCCAAACGGGTCCTGTCACCTTTCCGAGGGCCAGAATTTGGAATTTTTTGGAATTCCCGCGTGTCGGCGGCGGAGTTTGTAACGCTGAGATCGGCAGGTGGAGGGGGAAATAACGCTGAGATCGGCAGCTGCAGGGTTAATTCCATTTAGTCGTCGTCTTCAAAGGGTTGTGTTCGCTACGCGGCGCTGGCTTAGAACGAGTTAAATCGCGCGTGTCCCGTTTTTGTAGCGCTCCTGGGGTTGGGGTTCCCTCTCTGGGGGGGCAACTGAAGGGTTAACTGTAGTCTGTCACTTTCCCGAAGGGTGGGATTTGGCGAGTCCGCCAGTCCTGGTGAGCGAGCAGACGCATTAAGAGCCTCTTTCAACTTGCGGCTTGGGACGGAGAGCCCCGTTGTGAAAGCCGGGGACCAATGTGGGCGTCTTCCTGAATTCTGGAGGCAAACTCGTCCCCTCTAATCTAATCCAGTTGTACGTTTTCTCTCTCCGCCTCGGGGCGGAGATCGAGCTAATTGCTGAGCTCAGTAGTTGAAGCTGGGAGATACATTTCCAGCTTGCCCAGAGTAGTCCGTAGTAGTTACGAAGTTAAGATATCAGGGGCCTCTGCTTCCCAGAGCTCATTGTTGTAAGCGAGTAGATACAATCGGTCCGTACTCATCATAAAGGTAACTATCCTGAGAAAGAGGGGTTCTTTTGAAAGCGCTTTGAAGAGAGAGCAAGGGACGTGGAGGAAACATAGCTTATTCCATGTTTAGGGAATGGGCGTCTGGGGGCGGGCGGAGAGAGGGAGTCTTGCCCCATGACTTAGATATAATATGGTGTGTATTCAGCAGTGATTGAGTAGAAGGATGGTTATTCAGTTGTGCTTGTTTGGTTGTTTGGAAAAGGAACAGGAATGAAAGGCTTCTCGCCGGTCTTTATTTGGAGTCCAGGAGTTGCCGTGACTCAGTCTTAGCTGATAGGAGCTTGTACATGCCAGGGTTGAGCTTTAGAGTGTTGTAAAGGGAGATGGCCGCAGTTCTCCACCTTGTAGATGGCTGTTGAAATCCTCGTTTCACAGGAGACTAGCTGTCTGACTGGTTTGGTTACAGGACCGATGGAAACACAGCTCCCTTGTTGGAGAAAATAGGTAACTTGTGACTCTTAGTCTTCTCCACGGTAGAGCAACAGCAGTTAAGTGGGGGAAAATATTTTAGCAGAAATCCAAACTTTCTTTGAAGAATCTTGCATTTAAGAATGAAGGAAATTTAGCTACTTGTTTGGCTCTTTTTTTTCAATCCTTTAGGTGTTTTTTTTTTTTTTTTTAAATTTTTGGCTTCTCTTTTCAACAGTTATAAGAAAATGGAATGTGTATCTAATACAACCCAGATTCATAAGGAAAAACAAACTTTGGGTTATATATTCATGTTAGAATTTCTGATTCAGGGAACCAGCAGTTAGCGCATTGGCTATGTCGCTAGACTCCCACGTAGTCGACTGTGGTTTGCGTCCTGGACCCGGTGGCTTAAAACTCAAGCTGGGCGGGTGTGCATGCGTGCCCAAGATCCCGAGAGAGAATGGAGGAGAAGGGATTGCAGCGTGACCATCCCCTCTAGGGGGTGATTTCTCGCTTTCTGTCTCTCTGTCTGTCTGGCGAGCGCATGCGTCCTATAGCAAAAATCTCTCCAAAAAAAAAAAAAAAGAAAATTTCTGTATCATGTGGAAAAGAGAACTCTTCCAGTGTAAGTGAAGTTGAGCCTCATTCAGCTGTATTTTCTGACTTTGCTTGAGTTAAGAATTGAAGTCAATTTGTAAATCCATTCCTCTGATAAAATTTAATTAACTTACAGTGTAGATAGATGTGTTGCTACAATCAATTGTATTTGTTGTAGATAAGTAGTTATGTACAGCAAACCTTGAAAAGTTGAGGAAATCTTTAAGAAACGTGGAGGTTTTCTTGCTTACAGCTTTCAGTAGCCCTTGCAGCTTAACCTGAGGAGCATAAACTTTGAAGTCAAACAACCCTGGATTTGAAATCTCAGTCTGCCACTTAGCAGCCTTATATCCTCTTTGAGTCCCTGCTTTCTCATCCAGTAATTGGAGATAATAGCATGTTTCTTACAGAGTTGCTCTGAGGATTCTGTGAAATGAAAGCTGTTAAGCGACTAGTACCTGCTCCTGCAAGGGCATAGGTGAATGCTAACTTGCTATTATTTGTAGTGGGTACACGCATTTAATGCAGGAGCAGTGTTTTGAACATACTGAGGGATGTGCTATATGTATCTGACTATGGGCTGCACTAGTGGATTTATGGATTGTGGAAAGTAATCACAGCATGCTCCCCCCTCCCTTTTTGCATTAGATTATTTTACTTAACAGCAAGATTTTATGCAAAGCTGTTGAACTCAAAATGAACTGGTGGTTGGGAACCAGCAGTTAGCGTAATGGCTATGTCACTGGACTCCCACGTAGTCGACCGTGGTTCGCGTCTCGGACCTGGTGGCTTAAATCTCACGCCGGGCGCGTGGGCGTGCGTGCCCAAGATCCCGAGAGGAGAATGGAGGAGAAGGGATTGCGGCGTGACCATCCCCCCTGGGGGGTGATTTCTCGCTTTCTGTCTCTTTGTCTCTCTCTGTCTGTCTGGCGAGCGCACGGGCCCTATAGCGAAAACCTCTCAAAAAAAAAAAATGAACTGGTGGTTCCACTATTGTCTTAACTTTAGGCTATTCTTTTAACATTATCATGGTGTGGCTAGGGTCTGTTCAGAAAAAAGATCTGGGAACTAGCAATTAGCGTAATGGCTATGTCACTGGACTCCCACGTAGTCACTGCGGTTCACGTCCCGGACCCGGTGGCTTAAAAACTCACTCCCGGTCGGTGCGTGTGCGTGCATGCCCAAGATCCCGAGAGGAGAATGGAAGAGAAGGGATTGCGGTGTGACCATCCCCCAGGGGGGTGATTTCTCGCTTTCTGTCTCTCTGTCTCTCTCTCTTTGTCTGGCGAGCGCATGCACCCTATAGCGAAAACCTCTCCAAAAAAAAAAAAAGAAAACAAAAGATCTGTCACCACACAGAATAAGTGAGGCGATGGACAGGTAAATGAGCTTGATTTAATCATTCCACATTGTATATGTGTATCAAAATGTCATATTGCATGGTATAAATGTATGTAATTATGAGTTAACTAAAAATAATACTAAAAAGGAATCCAGAGTATAACTGGCTTTTAAGATGCTGGAGAAGATATGAGACTTCAGTTAATTTCCTACTTTTTAAATTTTTATTCTCAGACTTTCACTTAATCTGTGGTTTTTATGAAGGATATTGAGGGTGAAGAAACCTTAGTGAAAAACCTTTTAGGGAACCAGCAGTTAGCGTAATGGCTATGTCGCTGGACTCCCATGTAGTTGACCGCGGTTCGTGTCCCGGACCCGGTGGCTTAAAACTCACGCCGGGCGCGTGTGCGTGCGTGCCCAAGATCCCGAGAGGAGAATGGAGGAGAAGGGATTGCAGCGTGACCATCCCCCCTGGGGAGTGATTTCTCGCTTTCTGTCTCTTTGTCTCTCTCTGTCTGTCTGGCGAGTGCACGTGCCTTGCAGACAAAATCTCTCCAAAAAAAAAATAAATAAATAAAAAAAAATTAAAAAAAAAAAACCTTTTACAGATTTTTATGTTGGAATAAGAAGTCAAAATAGTAAATTTAGCCTTATCTTTTAAGAAGTCAGCTGTACTCTTTGTATTTCCGTAGAATGTTCGATTTATCAAACCAGAAATATGGATGTCCTGAGTACTGTGTTTTACTTGACAAAGTTGGCCATTTATTTGTTTAAAGTTAACAACTTCGCAGGTGTGACACTTAAGGTGAAGCCAGTTTTCTTTTCTATAAAAACTTTGATTCAAATTAAAGCCAAATTAAATTAAAACAGACTATATCTTCTGCTTTAAAAGTCAAGAAAAGCTTAATAGATGTCATTAATTTACTCAAAAGATTTGTGAAGATGAATTACTTTTAGGCAGAGTTCAGTTCAATTCTGAAAGAATAGGCAACTTAGTGAGAGTGGAGTTCAGTCTTAAAATGTCCTTTTTTTTTTTTTAAGGGTTTTTAAAACTAAATAATATCTCATTTTACCTAATATTTTGTGTAGATATACTTGGTTCTGTGTAGTGCTCTATTTTGTTTTGGACATTATAGAAGGAAACACCCCTACTCTTAGATTTTCTGATTAATGTTAAGGAATAGTTATTGCCCTTGCTAACTATTCCGGCAGTTATTGCATAATAAGTCATGTGTCCTGTATGTGTGCTATATGTTGAGTAATCTTTATTTTTAGCTGGGACTGTTAGAAAGGTTATAATATAGTTACCAACAAGTATTTACCAGGCTGAATTTTATAAACATTATCTTTTTTAAAAACAAGTAGCATTGGGGCTGACAGTTGGTGTGGTAGTTGGGGTACTGGGCTCCCACATGGCCAACCATAGTGTGAGTTCTGGACCTGGTGGTGTCTTTGTCACTTTTCCCCCCTCTCTCTGTCTCTCTCTGGTGAAATTCCACAAAAAAATAAAAATAAGAAAATACCAATGATGAATAAATTTAAATGAAAAATTCTTTAAAAAAACTAGTACTATAAAATTTTGCCTACACTTTTGTGAGTTGCTAATACCTGAAAGGTTTATCTAGGGACATGTTTTTTTTTTTAGTGCTGAGAATTAAGAAAAGAAGATATTTGGGAAGATGGTAGAAATCCATATCTAGAATCACTTTTTTAAAAAATTTTATGTATTCATTCCCCCCTCACCCCCCTCTTTTTAAAATTTGACCAGAAAGAACACACACACACAGAGAGAGGGAAAGTAAGCCACCAGGTCTGGGACTCAAACCGTGGTT